ATATTTAAGCGCTAATAATAATAAGTAGTTTTTCGATATATTCTTAAAATGATTTTTTGACCTTTTTTTTCATGATGATTTGATATATCTGATGTTATAAAAGTAATAATTCACATATACAGAATTAAAAAATCTGTAATTTCCTTTTTAGACTAGCCTGCAATCTATAATAGAAAATAAAAATAAGACCTTGATTGGTTTAAATTCAAAATAATAAAATTGATACGTATGTAATTCCACCCATATGCAAAATTTATGAAATATTCCTAGCGAAAAAGAAGTGATGACAGTTCAGAATAAAAAAAAATGCAAAAAAATATATCTATCTTCAAAGTTTTAAGTATTTCATCTGAGCCTATTGCTATTTTGGTTGTTACCGAACAAACTAATTATATACTGATATAAAAAGGTTAATCTTGGAGCTAGATGTTGAATTTTTAATAAGCATTGGTCAAGAAGAAGTTATTCATAGAGGATGAGTGTTTTTTTCACTAATTATTTGTTGAGTTATCATATATCTGAAGTTATGTTGCCCATCGGTATAAAATGTCTAAGAAAAATTGAAAGCTTTTTGTGGCCTATATTTCGACATAAAACGTTCTTCCTGCGGTTGTCTATCTTACACGGGAAATTAATAGGTGAATAGGATATATGCTAGCTAATAAGCATGTTACTATTCTAGCCATGCAATATTTAGTTGTTAATAACGATACATGTACTTACACATTATTATTTTATAAATGAAGAAAAGATAGTAGTGTTGACGTTGAAACTAAAATTAGAAGAAAAAAAAATATTCTTCTAATATAAAAATTGACATAATCGTATAGGTAAATTATTATAAATTTTATTATAAAATATACATATTACAAAATATTTATTTTTATTTATCAATTAATTACAGGTCCAGAAGTTGTTAGGTTGTTAAGGGGGGTTATGTGTTTAGAGAAAGAGGGTGAAGTTGTAGGTGTTATAGTTGAAAGTTCATTTAGGGTGGTGCTGTTGACAAGGCCAAAATGTTTAATTCCTACCCTATTATTTTAACTACCAAAAACTATCTCCCCACAACCTTTCTTAACCTCACCCTTGATGTTATTACAGACAACCCTATCAGATTTTCCTTTTATAATAACTTTATTCTTAATTATTAATTTTGCTTTTAACTATCATCACTTCTTTTAAATTTTTTCAAATTTTTTGAAATATTTAACCATTAATTTCATTTTAACTATCGTTATTCCTTTTTTAAAAAAAATTCTCTATAGGGTTATAGTTGATGTAGAATTACTGAATTACAGCATTTTACCAGTTGGTAGAATTAAATACGGCACAGTACTTGATATTATATGCCGTAATGCCGTAATCATGCGAAATCATAATACAATACTATAGCATTATAATATGATATGGTGCGAGCGCTTTATGAACGTACATACATACATCAAATTTGTACCATAATTCTTTTAGGGTCATATTTATTGTGGCGTATTATATCAGTTCCATATTTAATCAATACATATCAATACTACGTATCAAAAAATTATTTATTATACAATATTCAATCAAATATCAGACAATTAACTGTTTAATTGTATACGTATTTAGACAATATCAACTGTTTTTTAAAATGTTTTTTATATTCTAACTTAGTAAACAAACCAAATAATATAAGAATCATTAAACTTTATTGATAGATACCATATTAATTTTGATAAGTAATTCACTTTACCCACCTCATAATATTATTCTCTTTTACCTTATACAGTTAAAATTTTCATTGCTGTTTTCAAAATAGTTAAAATGGCTAATAAAAAAATTTTTTTGGTAAATATCATAAATACTTGAATATTTGAATATTCGATTACCTTGCGTAGCACATTGATTCACAACAGGGACAGCGTGCAGTATAAAATTTCCAAATCTGGATTGCAGATCATTTCTGATCTGACTCTGAAACCTAATAAAATTTAAAAAATTTTTAAACATTGAGCTAAGATATCTCGATGACCACTTAACTAAATTCAATGAAATTTTTTTTATTAGAATCCTATAGATACATAGAAGTCAAATAAAAAAAATTTTCATCAAATTTGATAAGGTGGTCGTTGAGATATCTTTGCTCAAATTTTAAAAATAATTTGGCGCAACTTATATTTTGATAGATGTTTCGAATTTTCTCTAACTTTAAACGAAGATATCTCGACGACCACCTGACCAAATTTGTTTATTTTTTTTCTATTTGAATTATACAGATTCATAAAAATCAAATAAAAAATATTTCATTAAATTTTGTTAGGTGATCGCCAAGATAACTTTACTCAAATTTGGAGAAAATTCAAAACATCTATCAAAATTAGAAGCTGCGCCAAATTATTTTTAAAATTTAAGTAAAGATATCTCGACAACCACCTAACCAAATTCGATAAAATTTTTTTTATTTGACTTCTACGTATCTATAGGATTCTAATAAAAAAAATTTTATCGAATTTAGTTAGTTTGTTACCGATATATCTTCATTCAAAGATGAAAACATTTCAAAACATCATGAAAAAAAAGGTCAAAAAATCATTTTAAGAATATATCGAAAAACTACTTATTATTATTAGCGCTTAAATAT